CTGGAATGTACCACGTCCACGGTCCGACTTTGGAAATAATTATGTATACAATGGACTCAGGACAAGGTGCGTTTCTACAAGTCTTCCTGCCATTATGACCAAGTTGCGAAAACAAGGTCAAACAACTTCTATACAACCAAAGGAGACTGCGACCACACAAAAAGCCACACCATCTTGGTCCTCATATCTTCGATCTCGCTTGTTATGTTTTATGGGAGATGGATAATTATGCCTTAGTCGGAATCTTTAGAATCCTAATTTTCGTCTATTGAGCAAAACAAAATGCTTCCTTTTATACTACTTAGCCTTCAATGTGCAGCCGTTCCTCTAGTGAAGCTGCAAACTGATGCGTCTCTTAATTTTAATATACTTTATTATAATTACTTATAATTTAATTATACTATTAAAAATAATGCAAAGCTATAGTCTTATTGTCTTCATTAAGAAATATTTCTTCAACAAAGTTCCATTTCGTTTTGTTATATAACGTTTAGTTCATCGTTTAATTTTTTTGCATGAACCCACAGATAGTATATTCAAACCCTGCTCCACAGCCGTGTCCAACTGGCCCACTTCCACTCTCCCAAATCCCTGGTTTCTTCACCTCTTCTTGTGGGCTGTTAAACCAATCGAACGCAAACATCAACGATTGCTCTTCTATTTCCAATTCTTCCAACAATCTCGTTTCTTCTGCAACCTGTCTCACAGCCTCTGGTTTACCTCATATTGCAACCGCCTCTCCTCTTTCTGCACCCCAGCTGGCTACATTTTCTCCCTCTATGCCTCCGACTTCCACTCCCATTGTCGTGGCATCGTCTACTTCTGATCCAACTCACCTCTCTACATCTGGTTGGCCGATATCTGGCCATGAGGTCCCTGGTCTCGTCCCCCACCAATCACCACACTCGCCACAGCCTCAGTTAGCCGGAGTGGGTACTGTGCCTTCGCTACACATCTCTACAGCTCTACCAAGTGCCTTAACTACAACAACCATTAGCGCTAGTGTTACACCAGACTTCGTCCCTAATCTTAGCACGATCTCTTCCTCCACGCAAGCTTCGCTAATGCCTTTCCATGGTACTCATCAGCCAGTGAGTTTTTTTAGCATAGTAACACACATTGGAATATTCTATCACATTTTTATTATATTTTTAAAAATTTTATGCGTTTCAGATTTCACACAAGTTTTTCTCAGACTATATATATCTAATTGGCGGTATGAAGAACAGGATGGTGTGGCCTTTTGTATGATTGTTGTCTCCTTTCGTTATATAGAAGTTGCTTAACCTTGGTTTCGCAACTTGGTCATATTTTCAGGAAGACGTAGAGAAACGCATCTTTTCCGGAGTCCATAGTATGCTTGCTAATTTCCAGAGTCGCACCATGGACTTGGTACATTCCCAGACGTTTCGCCGGCATCGTCAATGAGTCTTGCCATTCTCAAAGAGACAAGTGAAATCTAACCCTTGACCAACTTTTATCGAGACGGTTATACTATCATTCCTAGTTTTGTCCTGATTTCTCTATTCTCGCCCTCACCCTATCACAACTTCTGACATGTTTATATTCCATAAGAGATGTGCCCTTTTGACGATTTTAGGGTGGTGTCATCACACCTGTTTGCCTTGCGTCCCTCCCTTTGATTGCAATTAAATATTATTTTGACGATTTTGTGAGTCCGAATAATTCGCTACCTGACATACTCTTGGTTAATTTTAAATAGCTTGATCGGCAATATCGGTTATCATATTTCAACGTTTCAATTATTTGCTTTAAAAAACCTTTAATTTCAAAAGATGCTTTCAGTAGAAAGGGGAGATAGTGGTCATCATACCTTGATGGCCGAGAACAGATGTTACTTTCACTGTCCTAATTACTTTGAGCCATCACTGCTGGTTTCGTTCATAAACGAACACAACAGGCACATACACATCAGAGATATACACATCCACAAGCTTCGCGGATTACATACAGCTGTAACTAACCAAATCACTTTGTAGCTGATCAAAAAGGTCAGATAGAGTATATATCGCTTTTTATGGATTTGCTGGTGAGTTTTCTTGACTCGCTAGCTTCAATTTGGTTGTGACGATGATACCTTGATCGGATGATGTTCGTCATATGACGGACGAAAGCTTTGCACGTTTTCACCGTAATCGAAGGGGATTATCTCGGAAACAGCGTCAATTTGAATGTTCCAGTAAAGCCAATCGACAGCCGATCAAGAGGAATCCGCTCTTGTCTTTTGGTGAAATCGACCTTCAACGCTTTCACTCGAAATGTAAGTAAGCTCAACAATTATGAAACTAGCGATTCTTTGAAACCCAACCTTTCTACCCATATACGATGTTTTCAGTTTCTGGTTATTATTTATTTCTGTCCATTTATTTATCATTTGTCGACTTTATTCTTGCGTCCTATAATCTTTTCTTTTAACTTAAAGGTTTCAATTGTCTCAGCAACTCAGTCATCTGAATTCTCTAATGGACCTGTTTCTAACACATCAACTATCTCTCCTACTTGTCGAACCATGCTTGTACCATCCACTCGTCGATGGCGATCTGGAACATCGATCCAATTAGTTTCTCCAAATTCTCCTATCCTCACTCAAACGTCGACTCCTATCTCTACAGGCATCGTATATGGAACAACGGAATCTGCAACGGCTTTAGCTAGCACTTGTGTCTCTACCAGCTTCGCAACAGTAATTACTTCATCCTCCCCATGTGCGGATTCATGTGTTGATAATAAAAACTTTAGGGTAAGCTTGATCTGGCATCTTTATTTTGATCACTATTTTAATCAAATGCTGGTGTTTATTATTTACTTGACTGTATCAAAAATTCACCGTCAAAGCTTTCATTAATGTCTATGATTCTCATTTTAGCATCATATATGCGAAAATTGGGCACGAATGTCAAAAAATATCATTTCGAAGAATCCTTTAATATATTGGTGTTGGAGTACATTTCGTTTGAAGAAGCGAGTGAGAGAAGTTCGTAAGTTAGTCTCAATTGAGATTAAATAGGGTTGCCTTGGAGCTGTGATTGTAGATTCGTACGAATATGTCTTCGGCGCAATGATTCATCGGGGTCACAGGGCGGTTCTCCAATGACCTATTCCCACAAATCTACAATCATTTCCAAGGTAATCCCCATACAGCTTCCGGCGAGATCAACTTATGAA